ACGTGTGATGACTACCCTTTAAAAGGCAAGAGACAACACCACAGAGAGACATGATCTCTAAGCTGATTTTTACAGAATGAGTGAAAGCTTGACAGGAGGAAAGAGCAGCCCAGGAAGAAGGAAGAGCACAGGGAGAAAGAAGGCATGTAGCCTTCAGCGTGGCCTGGGCTCAAGAAGCACATTGGAAAAGGGCTGAAGCTACAAAAGTCCCCTGAGGATAGATTGGGGACTGCACTTAAAACTTCAGTGGGATCCTTTATGAACAAGCCTACAGGAAGTTTTGAATGAGTCTAAGAAAGAAATTGACATAGTCCGATTGGATTTTAAGATCATGAGAGTGCAATTTCTGTTTTCTGGAAACTTGCTGTGTAATAGCAAGTTCGTGTTTAATACTTTAAATGCTAACTTTTTAACTAACTACTGATATTTTAATATTTATTAAGTCCTAACAAGGCATCAGAGTCTAAACTAAGCCTTCTTGAATGCAGTATCTTATTTAATCTTCTCAAGAACGTCATTGAAAAGAAAGATGCTGTAATTATCCCTCCCTAATTGACAGGCAGAGAGTCCAAGCGTTAGAGAAAGGTTGGGTACCTGACCAGGTTCATACAGTAAGTGCCCAGATTTAAACTCAGGCACTTTGGTTCTGCAACACTAGTTTTAACCCCAGGGAAGTGGTCTTTAGTTCTGGATGCACACAAGAATCACCAGGGGAACTTAAAACAAAAACAAAGCCACCCTAATGCCCAGAATTCTCAGTTAAATCGCAATTTAATCAATTCTCAATGAAATCAAGACCCCTGGGAACAGGGTCTTGGCATCTATTTTAAAAGTGCCGGCAAGTGATTCTAAAGCACAGACAGAGTTGCAGTCTACTGAGCAAGACTACAGTGTCACCTTAACATACAGGGAATAGTCATAAACATCCATATTCTACCACCACCCTAAAATCGCAAGAAAAAAAAAACTACGAAATAGTAAAATCACAGAAAATGAGGACTTTCATGGCTTTTTTTCCAGTTTTACTCTCAGAGAAAAGCTATGGCCTTCATCTGTTTTAAGACTGGCAGGCAGCAACGAAGAAAAATCAAAGGAGGTAAGGGTAAAAAGGAAAAGGTGACAAAGGGGTTTCAAGGTGGGAAGGAAGAGAATGGTTGAAGTCGGGGCTGTTGAAGTAATAAGACACTATCTACTGATGAGCGGTCGGTAATATCAAAGGCACATTTGCAGAATGTTTCCTTTTCAGTAATTGTACAAAGACTCCCTTGCCATTACAAAGCACTTTTCTTCTTGGCGGATTGAAGAATGCTTTACCAACTAAATGCATCCCAGTAATATTCAGAGCTTAGGTCCAACATAATCATAAGTTGCCTTGTTATTATGGAGGTAGCAGCCCCATTTAATAACATATTAAATGCATTATTCATTTATGTAACTCAGACCCAGGGACAGCTGCTGGGATGAAAATAGAACCATTCTCTAATGCAAAAAGCAGGTGTGTGCTTACTTGAGTAAATGAACTCTATATTTCTGCACAATTTTCTTCTAAATTTCAGGGACAGGTCTGGTAGTGCTAATGTGATGCCATTTTCATCCAGGAAATAAAATGGTTTCAGAATGGTTTTTAATGAGCATTTAAAAAAAATTACCAACAGTCTTCTCGGTGGCAGAATCCCAGGGGGGATGGATTCGTGCTTTGGATTTAAGCAGAACTGTTGCTGCTGGATTCAGGAAAGCCTGGGGCAATGATTGGTCAGAACTGCAGCAAACAAAGGAATGTACTCTAGCTGATGATGCCAGTGGTGATGGTGAGCCCATGTCTTTATAGCTGCTCGCCAAGACAGAGTCACAGGTGTGCTTGGATGCTAAGTGATTAAAAATCATAACCTGCCTTCAGTGAAACGTGCAGGGAGTTTCTGATGCACAAACTCACTGGGATGGCATAATTACCGTGTGACATCACTGGTCATTTTCTTGCTACCTTTGCTGGTACCAGAATGTCACCATTCTGCAATGCCAGTGCATTTTTTTTCTCTCTCTCTCTTTCTCCCATCTACCATCATTTTCTCTTTTAATCAGTATGCACTGAAGCACAGTGGATTTTCTTAAATATCAAATGGAGTGATGTTAAAAATGCTCACCCAAGATAATGACCAATCAGAATGGGTAAGGATCCTAGTGCAGGAGCAGAGATTTGGAGGCTGCCTGAGGGGCTAGGTGTTAACCCCTTAGTTTCTGGATTGTAAAGAGAAGCAGGGACTTCAAAGATAGGAATTGATCACAGCTGGGCTGGTGAGTGAGGTGCTTGAAGGGTTTAGGGCAGTGGTCGTACCCAACTGCTGTGCAGATACTTTAGCATTTGAAATGGTACAGTCAGGGGCTCCTGGGTGGCTCAGTCGGTTAAGTGTCCAACTTTTGGTTTCACCTCAGGTCTTGGTCTCACAGTTCTCAAGAGTTCGAGCCTCACATCTGGCTCTGTGCTGGAAGTGAAGAGCCTGCTTGGGATTCTCTGTCTCCCTCTTTCTCTGCCCCTTCCCCACTCATGCTGTTTCTCTCAAAAATAAACAAATGAACATTTAAATTAAAACATACACACACACACACACACACACACACACACACACACACACACAGTACAGTCATCCCAGTGTGAATCTACTATCAGCTTTGTATGTGCCCCGGGACAAGGATGCCCTCAAGGAACTTAAACTTCAAGTCACACAGGAAGACAGTCAGAGAAGGCATAAATGGGTTCCTATCAGGCAAATCATAAGGATTCCTTTAAGAGTTCAGAGGAGGGACATGGGGCACCTGGGTGGCGCAGTCGGTTAAGCGTCCGACTTCAACCAGGTCACGATCTCACGGTCCGGGAGTTCGAGCCCCGCGTCGGGCTCTGGGCTGATGGCTCAGAGCCTGGAGCCTGTCCGATTCTGTGTCTCCCTCTGTCTCTGCCCCTCGCCTGTTCATGCTCTGTCTCTCTCTGTCCCAAAAATAAATAAACGTTGAAAAAAAAAATTTAAAAAGAGTTCAGAGGAGGGACAATCTCCTTCTATTTAAAGAGTCAGTACAGTCGTGGTAAAGAGAGGAAGTGTTCTAGAGACACATTTTATGGGGTCTTGACTATGTGATCATGAGAAAACTGGTTAACTTCCATGAATCTTAGCTTCTTCATCTATATATTGAGAATAATACTTTCCTTAAGCAGAACATTTCAGGGTATTTTTAAGATAAATGGCAAAAGTCATGTAAAGAACTTAGCACAATGACAAGTATAATTAGCACTCTCTCTATATGAACTTTTTATTATTTCACTTCTTATTTTACTATCCTTGTCAGGAAAAGACAGATGAAAGGATTTGTTGCTTAAAGTGTAAGTTTTAGGCAGCTGAGAGAGCATGCACGAAGACAGAGAAGCAGAATGAGCAAAAGAAAATAAGTACTCTCAGAAGGATTGAAAATAGAGGTTTGGCTAGGGCAGAAGGAGCTTTTTGGTGAGAAAGAATTCAGAGACGTAGTGAAGTGAGCTTGCGGAGGGCTTCATGCACAAGATGACAGGATTTATGGCTTATCCTAAGGACATTTGGAAGCTGTGAAGATTATGAACAGGTCACAGAAATAATAATATTAAGTAAAAATAACTGGTAACCTTTCATAAGCACTTGCTAATCATCAGGGCGGTTTTAAATACTCTGTGTACATCAATCCATTTAATTTGTACAACTACCTTGTGAGGTGAATTACATACTAATAACTGACCTTAGAGTGATCCATGGTGTCCAGAGTACTTTCCCAGACAGTATTTAATTTGACTTTCTCAACCATGATCTTAAGCAGTCAGTCCTGAGACTCAAAGCACAGGAAAGGACATGGGCTAGATTTGAAGGAGTAGGAAAACTATGGCCTGCGAGTCATAGCTGGCATACTGCCAGCATCGGGAAATAAGGTTTTACTGAAAGCCAGCTGTCTCCATTCTTTTATGCATTACCTGTGTCTGCTTTCATGCTGCAATCAAAGAGTTGAGTACTTGTGACAAACAGCAGATAGCTGGCAAAGCAAGAATATTTCCTATCTAGCTCTTTGTGTTAAAAGTGTCTCCACTTCTGGTCTAGAAGAGTGGAAAGACCTTAGACTTTGCTTCCACTCTGAGCTCCACCACTCATTCTAGGTAAGTGAGCTTGGGAAGTCTGTTATATGAATTCATAAAGTGGTTACTATGGCCCCCACCCAAAAAGATGATGAACAGATAACACTGAAGCTCAAAGTCTTAAAGGTGAATTGTCCTAAAAGCACAGATTCTAATTAATTATGAATCTGATAAACTGCATAGGACCAATTTGTGGAATAATCCTTTTTTTTTTCCTCTATTAAAGTGAAAATAAGAAGAAAGAAGCGAAAGAAGAGGGAAGATTTACTCAGTCTGCATACTGGTCTCCTTATTATGAGTTTTCAATAATTAGCCAGTATATCTCTTCATAAAATATTGAGTAGAAACAATCACATTTAGCCAACTTTCTGTACTACACCGTTACCATAGCATCCTCTAAGGGGTTTAATGTTAAGTCACATAATCCATAACAATCTATTCTTTGCCTGAATTGCAAATTCCCTTGCAATATGCATTACTCATTCTAACCCTCAATCATATAGCCTTTAAAGTATCTCCTAGACTACTGACAGATGTATCTTCAAGATTATAAACATGGTGAGGGCAAGAAGCATGGCTTCTATTGCTGTGCATTTCCCGTAGCTCTGAAGTGAAATGATTCATTGACAGAATAAAAGAATGATATTAAGGTGCTAATAATATGTACAGTATGTTCCTCTGATGATTTGTCTTTCTGGTGGGTGCTTTATAGGAATTAGCTCTAATCCTCAGAGAACCATGCTGTGTAGTTATTGATAGCCCTCAGGGCTACACAGTGGTAGGTCTGGCTTTAAAAAATTGGGAGTGATTTGAATGGTAATGAGCTGGATTACAACGTGAGCTTCTCTCGTTTTAGGTATAGGAAAGTGGTTTCCAATAACTGCACCGATGGAGTAAGAGAACAGTACACTGCCAAACCGCAGAAGTGTCCCGGGAAGGCCCCGCGGGGGCTGCGGATTGTCACTGCTGATGGGAAGTTGACGGCAGAACAGGGGCACAACGTTACTCTCATGGTGCAGCTGGAAGAGGTAGGACCAAAGCCCGAATCCCTTTTGTCTTCTAGGGCCAGTGATTTTTTTCCTAGGAAATCAGGTTTGGTGTGTTTTTGTTTTGTTTTATTTATTTATTTATTTATTTATTTATTTATTTTTACACGTCGTTGAAACTTTTTATGTTTTTCTACCTTTAGTTCTTTGGTTTATGGTTGTTGCTGCTGTGACTTCGCCTTCTCTGACACATTTCCTCAATTATTTTCATTTCAGTGCAAGTTGTTCTTCATGCTGACCTAATCTATCACTTCTTGGGAATTCTTTTTGGAGTTAATTGTGCCTTACTGGCACTTCCGGCAAAAAGGTTCCTCAGAATACATTAATGGTATTCCTAAAATAATTAAGCACACACGCATGTTCAGCCTAAAAGGTATTACTGCTGTCTTCCTCTCTCAACCTGAAGTCTTGGCTTTTCTTTTCCAAAGGCAGCCTGCTGGCCATACATGGAACACAAAGGCTAATCTAAATATAATTGAGTATACATACTGTCTTTGGCAATTGAGAGTTTGTATTTTTGTAGCACCTCTGCAATATCACTATGAGGATCAATTACTATTTGACAAATTATGGTTACCTGAGATTTCTGAAAATGTAGACTGGATAAAATGAAACTTATACTGTGTTTTTTAAAATACACACAGGCCCCGCGTCAGGCTCTGGGCTGATGGCTCGGAGCCTGGAGCCTGTTTCCGATTCTGTGTCTCCCTCCCTCTCTGCCCCTCCCCCGTTCATGCTCTGTCTCTCTCTGTCCCAAAAATAAATAAACGTTGAAAAAAAAAATTTAAAAAAATAAATAAATAAATAAAAATAAAATACACACAGGCATTTTTATCATCTTGCAAATGAGGAAGATGTTCTCTAAAGGAGAAATAATTTCATTAAATGATCTCAATTATGAAGCCAGGCAGTGCTGTATCCAGCCATGTTTTCTGAGTGCTAAAATATGGGAAGCACTGTGCTAGGCCTTGTGAACACAAAGGGATTTAAAAAGTTAATAATGAGGGGCACCTGGGTGGCTCAGTCGGTTAAACGTCCAACTCTTCATCTTGGCTCAGATCATGATCTCAGGGTTCGTGAAATTGAGCCCTGCATTGGGCTGTCTGCTGACAGTGCAGAGCCTGCTTGGGATTATATCTCTCTCTCTCTCTCTGTCTCTCTCTCTCTCTCACCCTTTCTCTCTCTACTCCAACCTCTGCACGTGCATGTGCACTCTCTCTGTCTTGAAATACTTTTTTAAAAAGTTAATAACGACACCAGGATTAAGATCATGATCATCATCATTGACTTCCATCAACTTCTGATAGCTCGGTGGCTTTCGATCTGTAAATGAAGAAAAATTACCTGGTGAACATGTCAAAACAGTTTTCCCAGGCCATTTCTCCAAAGGTTCTGACTGAGTAAGTTGGGGGGGCAGGGGCTAAGAATATACATTTATAACAGGATCATAGGTTATACATTGTGCTTTGAGATAAACAGGGGCACCTAGGTGGCTTAGTTGGTTAAGTATCTGACTCTTGGTTTCAGCTCAGGTCATGATCTCACTGTTCTTGAGTTCAAGCCCACATCAAGCTTGGGATTCTCTCTCTCTTACTCTCTCTCTCTGCCCCTCCCCTGCTCATGCACACACACACACACACTCTCTCAAAGTAAATAAGTAAACTTTAAAAAAAAGAATAAACAACAAAACTAGGGCAAAGTCAAGAAGGATAGTGTAGCCTGACAGGCTCTGGAGTGTGACTTGAAGGGGAAAAGATGAAGCAATTAGGATTGCTTTGTCAGGATTGATCAAAATCATTGGTATTTTAATTCCTGTAGGAAAAACAACTGTGAATTAATGAGTTTGAAACTCCAGCTCAGGGTGGTGCTGAGGCTTCTGGTCCAAGGACCACTTAGAGAACCGTTCTTGTAACCTAATACTCCTTTCTGGTATCTCCTTTATAAGTGCCTTTCAACCATACCTAATCGCCTAGATACATACTAAGGTTTTCCCAAATTTTTCAGTTGGCTCTAGAAAGATGCAGACCAATTTAGGCCAATTGGAGTTGCTTGCATTTCACAGAACTGGGACCAGTGCCTGAGGCTATGACATATTAGCTCACAGCAAATAAATTTATATATATAGAGAGAGAGAGAGCCAGAATAAGATTCTGAGAGAGAGAGAGAGAGAGAGAGAGAGAGAGATGAGGGGGAAGAAGACTGTGACAGAATTGTCAAGAGGATTTAGGAAAACAAAATTCTTTTGTTCATAGATAGGACATTCATTGCCATGAGTCCAACAGTTCATGCTGAATTCCTCTCAAGAACTTTGCCAGTTCATACGTCACATGTAGAGGAGGTCAGATTTCAGATTCCCAGTTAGAAGGTCAAGCAGAAAGTGTTGGCTAAAGAGTTGGCTCACAAGGCTGGGAAGATAAAAGTTGACTTCAGGTCAAATCCCAGAGAGAAGAGAAACATAGAAAAGTAGCACAATTCTGTGCATTTTTGTCCCTCTCTGAGTTGTTTGGCAGCATCTACGTGATACAGAAAAAATAGAACGCAGTCACAAAAAGGATGAGAAATCAAGCATAGTTTTTAGAAGGATTACATTTTGAGGAAATAAAAATTAAAGTTCAGGGACTATCAGGGAAGGAAGCTCTGGTGAGCAGTACAACACTGGGTTCTTGAGACTTCTAGAAAACTCCGTCATATTTGTTTTTCATATAAAATATTGAACATTTAATTTAAAATATTACATATATATCCAGAAAGAGGACCATGAGGAGGAAAAAAAGCATCAGAAAAAAGAACAGTTGTCTGAGATATATTTAATATGTTCATGAATATGGGTTAAGATAGAAAATGTAACCCACCAGCAGCAATCAGTAGGAGGCAGTCAACAAATGGAAGTTGTAGAAATAAAGATGTAATAACTGATATTAAGAAGTTAGATGGATTTACAGCCAACTGAACCCATATAGATAGAGGATCAGTTAACTGGAAGAAAGGACAATTGGAACTTTAGCATTTGGCATAAGAGAGGAAGGATAGAAAATAGAGAAAATAGGAAGGGAAGGGGCACCTGGGTGGCTCAGTTGGTTAAGCCTCCGACTCTTGGTTTTGGCTCAGCTTCTGATCTCATGGTTGGTGAGTTAAAGCCCCGCATTGGGCTTGCTGTTGGGCTTGCCCATAGTGCAGAGCCTGCTTGGGATACTCTCTCTCCCTCTCATGTCCCCCTCCTCTCCTCACACACGTACTCACTCTCTCTTTGTCTCTCTCTCTCTCTCAAAACAAGTAAACTTAGGGGCGCCTGGGTGGCTCAGTCAGTTGGGAATCCGAGTTTGGCTCAGGTCGTGATCTTGTGGCTTGTGAGTTTGAGCCCGGAGACAGGCTCTGTGCTAACAGCTCAGAGCCTGGAGCCTGCTTGAGATTCTGTGTCTTCCCTTCTCTCTGTCCCTCCCATGCTCATGCTCTGTCTCCCTCTGTCTCTCAATAATGAATAAACTTTAAAAAAAAAAAAATTCAAAATAAGTAAACTTAAAAAAAAAAGAATAATAAGGGAAAATGATGAAAGACTACCATAAATGTAAGTAGAGACCCAGAGGAGAGAAGAAAGATATAGAGTCAGAATCATTTTTGAAGAGATAATGTCTAATAATATTCTGAAACTGACAAAAGGTGTGAGCATATCAACATAGATGGGAGAGAATCCACAAACCCCAAGCAGGAGATATACAAAGAAAACAAAAATCATGTAGGTATCATATTCAAACTACTGAAATCTAAAAACACAGAGAAAATTTTTTAAAGCAGCCCAGGAGAAAATGGAATGACATTTTTGAAGTTCTGGAGGAAAAACAAATGTGAAGGTAAAATAAAGACATTTCTCAGACAGAAACCGAGATGAGTTGTATAAGCTGATTTCTATAAAAAGAAAAACTAAAGGTAATTCTTCAGGTATAAAGAAAATGATGCCAGATAAAAGTACAATAATGGAAAGAGTGAAGAGAAAGAAAGAAGGCATATTCGGGGGTAAATTGCAATTAATAATAACTTTGCAGGCCAATAATGATCAGCTATGGGTTTAAAATATATGTAGAATTTAAATACATGACAACAATAATTCAGTGTGTATTAAATGGCATTAAAGTGTTTTCAGTTCCATGAAATGTCTGTAAAGAAGTAAAAGTACTAATTTATATTAGACACCAGCAAGTCCAGAATATGTGCTTTAATATCTAGAGAAACAGCTAAAAGAATAGTCAGAGACATTAAACTATCAAGTTATTGACAGAGGAACTGGAATAATATTAAATGCACCTCATTAATCCAAAAGAAAAGAAAGAGAGGAGAGGAAACATTCTTACAGTCAAGACAAATAGAACAGATACAGAAATAGTAGGTATAAACCCAAATATTATCATTAATTACATAAAATAAATAGTGATTTTTGTGGCTTGCTTAAGAAGTCTGTGTCTAACCCAAGGTTGTGAAATCACGCCACAGTTTTTCTTTAGTTTCCACATTTAAGTCTATACCCTCTTGAATAAAACCAAGGTAGAAACAGGTTTTTCTCTTTGCATATCCATTGATCCAGCACCACTGAAAGACAGTTCTCATGCTGAATTGCCGTGAGCCTTTGTCATAAATCAATTAAATGTACCTCTGTGTATTTGTTTCTAGATACTGTGTTCCATTGGTTTTGATTTTCAAACCTGTGTTAATTGATCATTCAAACACATTTTAAGTACTCTAGATTTAGAGTAAGTCTTGATAGTTGGGCATATAAATCCTCTGAACCAATTAAAAATCATATATTATATATAATTATATATAATATACTTTATAAAAATTTAAGAAACAAAACATATGAACATAGTGGAAGGGAAGGAAAAATAAGATAAAAAACAGACAGGGAGACAAACCATAACAGATTCTTAAACATAGAGAACAAACTAAGGGTTGATGGAGGGGTTTGGGGTGGGAGGATGGGTTAAATGGGT